TTTAATTGTTGTTGTGACAGCAGTCACAGCTCAGACTAATCTTGTTTGGTTTAACAGAGCTCTACTACTTAACAAGAAGAGAGAGAGGGATAGAGAAAAAAAGAAGGACATGTGGGTCAGTTTGCTTTGTGACCCCGTATCAGCATGTGACACAAAGCCCACCTGTTTACGCTAGAGACTCACAGGAGATCTCCTTGGCATGGACAAACGCAACCCTAAACATGCGTGCAGAATTCAAGCCAGCATAATTATTTAAAAGCACAAGGCACAACAACTGTTTGTGCTTCAACTACTGGTTTGGGTTTATTGTTCATGTGAGATGAAGATGAGGATGTATTTTGTGAAATTGGGACAAAATTCACAAGTCATTGGAAGGTCAAGTTAAAGAAACTGTCCAGTGAAAATTGCACTTTTTAAAGTTCATATTCTGTTAACTCATACCCAAATAATGTTGTTGACTCGTCTTATACTCGTATTTGTGGCCAAAGCATAAATTGGAGAAAAAAACACTTATAGAAACCAACTTCAAACTTGTATCTCAAACAGACTGTTTAAAAAGTGCTTGCTATTTCCTCATAGAGAATGATGTCATCCTGCCTCATTGGCTGAGCTGGCCAATCAGCGGTCTACTCGCGTTAATATTTTTTATTGGGGTACGCCCACACCATTCCAACACAGAAAAGCTGCTTTTTAACATACTCAATTACAATTTTTTGGAAGGAAAAGTATTTCACTCATATTGTAATTAATTATGGGTCATATTTCAAAGAAATCTGGAAACACTGGACAGCCACTTTAACATTCAAAGGCTAAATCCTCTTGAAATCTGTGCATGTAGCTGAGGCACAAAATAAGCATTACATATTGTGTAAGGCTTGTCCCATCATACCATGGCAATTTATATCATAATATCGCAAGAATCTGAAAGTATTTGGTACAATTGTGTGTGTCTGTGTCCTGGGTACTGCTGTAAACAAGGTAATTATTCTGTGTCCTGGTCAAAATGTACAGAATCATACATACACACACAAACAACATGCACCCTGACTGTACAGCTGTGTACCTTGTGGGCTGCCCTTGTGCTAAATCATCACATTTGTGTAAGGCCTAGCTACAGGGTTGGGCCACAACAAACCACTGAAGCGATAACAGAGACTCCATATAACAGGAAGAGAGAGATAGACGGAAAGTAGGCTACATGTGGGAGGGGAGAACACAACGAGAGAGAACCAGAAAGAGAGTGAGAAATAGGGTGAGGAAGAGCAGAAGAGGGGACATTCCTTTGCCTAAACTCAGGGTCACTACGGCTGCACACTCCATATCCCATGACCCTGCCATTCTAAACAAGCAGATACATGTACAGTGCCTTCAGAAAGTATTCATACCCCTTGACTTATTCCATATTTAGTTGTGTTACAGCCTGAATTAAAAATGGATTAAGTTGATTTTTTTCTCACCCATCTACACACAATACCCAAAAATGACAAAGTGAAAACATGTTTTTAGACATTTTTGCAAATTTATTGAAAATAAAATACAGAAATATCTAATTTACATAAGTATTCACACCCCTGAGTCAATACTTTTTAGAAGCACCTTTGGCAGCGATTACAGCTGTGAGTCTTTCTGGGTAAGTCTCTAAGAGCTTTCCACACCTGGATTGTGCAACATTTCCCCAGTATTCTTTTCAAGATTCTTCAAGCTCTGTCAAATTGGTTGTTGATCATTGCTAGACAACCATTTTCAGGCATTGCCATAGATTTTCAAGTAGACTTAAGTCAAAACTGTAACTTGGCCACTCAGGAACATTGACTGTCTTCTTGGTAAACAAATCCAGTGTAGATTTGGCCTTGTGTTTTAGGTTATTATCCTGCTGGAATGCAGACTGAACCAGGTTTTCCTCTAGGATTTTGCCTGTGCTTAGCTCCATTCCGTTTCTTTTTCTATCCTGAAAAACTCCCGAGTCCTTAACGATTACAAGCATACCCATAGCATGATGCAGCCACCACTATGCTTGAAAATATGGAGATTGGTACTCAGTAATGTGTTGTATTGGATTTAGCCAAACATAACACTTTGTATTCAGGACATAAAGTAAATTGCTTTGCCACATGTTTTGCAGTATTACTTTAGTGCCTTGTTGCAAACAGGATGCAAGTTTTGGAATATTTTTATTCTGTACAGGCTTCCTTCTTTTCACTCTGTTAATTAGGTTAGTATTGTGGAGTAACTACAATGTTTTCTCTTATCACAGCCATTAAACTATTTAACTGTTTTAGTCACCATTGGCCTCATGGTGAAATTCCTCTCCGGCAACTGAGTTAGGAAGGACGCCTGTATCTTTGTAGTGACTGGGTGTGTTGATATGAATTAACCCTTGAGCTGAGGCCTACTTCCTGCTCAGGAACCATGTGTGCTTCGGGGTTGGTTGATGTCCATCCGCCAAACAAAATGAGAAGCAAGGGTAGGGATGGCAGCAGGGCTTCCCGCCAAGCAAGGATGAAAAAAGAGCAACAACTGGAGCATAGCAGACTGTTTTGTCTGGTTTGCCCTTGCAGACATTTCTCCATTCCCCCACCCCTTCCTCTTTTCCATTTTTTTATTCCATTGAGAAAAACAGTGAGTTTCTTGGGGTTTCAAACCCTAGTTTAAAGAATGACTTCATATGCTAGTCTGGTGGTAAATGTGAAAGTCTGAATGGAAACCAACTCATGGTCGTGAAAAGAGAAGATGCCAATTTGATTGTGGCCCATTTTGATCTGGAGAACCCATTTCACAAAACCGCAGATATGTAGTCTTCATGATGCTTGAAGTTTCCTATGAGAGGCTTTGAACTGAAACCCATATGACCAGCCTCTTAAAAGTGGAATGCCAATGTTTCCATAAGTGCTATTGGGTCACTAATGATCCAATTCTTAATTTTTCCAAGAGTAATGTCTACTCCCAACCCCAAAGTCTCTGAAAGCTAAAATTGGGCTGATGGCAGCATGGAAAAGTGGTCCATCTGTTATTTTCAGGAATCTCTAGTAATTTGAAGACGGATCAGGGTCAAACAATCAGTCTCTTGCACTGCCCCACCACCCCATCCTTTTACGCTGCTGCTACTCTGTTAATTATTTATGCATAGTCACTTTAACTCTACCCACATGTACATATTACTTCAACTACCTCAATTAGCCGGTGCCCCCGCACATTGACTCTGCACCGGTACCCCCCTGTATATATAGCCTCCCTACTGTTATTTTATTTTACTTCTGCTCTTTTTTTCCTCCACTTTTTTTGTTGTTGTTTTATTTTTACTTTTTTGTTAAAAATAAATGCACTGTTGGTTAAGGGCTGTAAGTAAGCATTTCACTGTAATGTCTGCACCTGGTGTATTCGGCGCATGTGGCCAATACAATTTGATTTGATTTGATTACTGAAGTTCGAACAGTGTTACTCATACAATTCCCTTGACGAATTTAGTTTCTGTTCAAGGAAAAGTTACTAGTACAAATCTACAACATAATGTGAAATGTGATACTTCTAAGCTGAAATAGCAACTAAATCAGCCTTGACCTGTTACAGTAAGCTCTTAAGTGAGCATCTTGTGGAAAAAATTCGAATGACAACAAGATAAGTACATTTGATCCTGATTGGTCACATTGACCCCTAGCGCTAAGTGACACAGCGACAAAACCAGTGCAGTAAAGGGTCAACATCCAAGCCCCAAAGTGACTGTGTGCTAATGGTATTTTCAGGGAGAGGGAGAATGGAGAGTTGACGACTCAGTTATTGGGTTAAATGGCCAACTGTCCTCCTGTGCAAAGCTGTCATCAAGGCAAAGGGTGGCTATTAGAAGAATCTCAAATATAAAATATATTTTGATTTGTTTAACACTTTTTTGGTTTCTACATGATTCCATGTGTAATTTCATAGTTTTGATGTCTTCACTATTATTCTACAATGTAGAAAATAGTAAAAATAAAGAAAAACCGTTGAATGAGTAGGTGTTTCCAAACTTTTGACTGGTACTGTATATATATATATTTTTTTTCTTCACATCTTCAGAACCAACACAGGGAAGTTCAGTTATGGAACTGATTCTGACTGGATCATGGCAAGCATTATTGTCTGCCTGGTGGCTCTTTTTTATTTATTTCACCTTTATTTAACCAGGTAAGCCAGTTGAGAACAAGTTCTCATTTACAACTGCGACCTGGCCAAGATAAAGCAAAGCAGTGCGATAAAAACAACACAGAGTTACATATGGGGTAAAAAACATAAAGTCAAAAATACAACAGAAAATATATATACAGTGTGTGCAAATGTAGCAAGTTATAGCAAGTAAGGCAATAAATAGGCTATAGTGCAAAATAATTACAATAGTATTAACACTGGAATGCTAGATGTGCAAGAGATTATGTGCAAATAGAGATACTGGCGTGCAAAAGAGCAAAATAAATAACAATATAGGGATGAGGTAGTTGGGTGGGCTAATTTCAGATGGGCTGTGTACAGGTGCAGTGATCGGTAAGGTGCTCTCTAGCTCAAAGCACAATAGCAGCCAATTAAATCATCTTCAGAATTGGTTTAAAGTTGTAAAACGTAAATACTAAAAACAACTGTGTTTCAATTATGTTAGTCTGCAAAGTAGCTTATAATTTGGTTTAGACAATAAAAAATACATTTCCAAGGCATTGCATTGAGCCGGTAAATGAAGAGATCGCTTTATCTGGCCATGGCTAGAAGGGATAAAGCTTTTTTCAAATTCGCGTTAAAAGTTTTTTTTAAACTGTTTTCCTAACCGTAACCTAATTCTCCTAACCTGCTACGTTAATTCTCATAAATTGCTGCGTAAATTATCCTAACCTGCTACGAAAAGTCAAATCACAAAAGCTGTAGCCTGAGTACCAGTCTCTTTCGCTAACATTCCACTCCTTGCCACTCAGGGTGTGGAATGTTAGCTAAATAGGTACCCAGGCTACAAAAGCAGTATCCCATCTAGTCAAAACCGGCTTTATCTGCCTCCTCCTACTTCCTCTACGAGCACATGGAGCGGGTGACAAGTCTAAACCAGTTCCTTCCTACGTCGACTGAAGGCCAGTTTCAGCTGGCGTGTTGTCGTGGAGACGGTACCTCTATAAATACAGTCAGTATCAAAACACGCATTTACACTTCTAGTTCAGACAGAGAGTGTTAAACAGTTCCGTGACAAGACTCGGCTAACAAGGGAAAACCAAGTCATTTTTTCCAGGACTCTGGTCTAATGGACACACTCTTTGTAAATGCTTTTTAAGGTAAACCTTCACTAATTTATTCTACGTTTTCACAGTAACTTCCTAATTTATTTTAAACTGACTAGGTAAATTAGGCTACCGGTATTCATTCATTCATTATGAGCTATCCAAGTTGGCTTAGTCAAATCGTGTCATAGTGTTTAGCTAACGTTAGCTAGTAAGTTACAGTATTGTAATGAAACAGGCAGGGAACAGGTATCGAACCCTCAACCTTCTAGGCCGATGTCCAGCGCGCCATGCCGCCATCGACTGTGCCCCAAAAGTAAGAGTCGATATCCGCGCTTATAAATCCAGGGTCGTTACAGTATGTTATTGATATGCCATATTGTACAAGTAGTAACGTTAGCTAGCTTTTACGTACCGCTATCTTCTAAAACATTTTTGTGTTTTTGGCTCGATGGAAGTGATGGATTTGGGGTATGAGCTGAAATGCATACTGCCAGTACTGGTAGTAGGCTACTTGGAAAAAAGATCGTGTCCTTTTCGGTTTCCACTCGTTATTACAGCCACAAAGTTAAAATTAGCTTTTTGGTCATAATTTAAGGTTATGGCTAGTCATAAGGTTAACAGTATGGTTAGGTTTGCAATAACGTTTTAAGAAGATACATTGAATAAATAGGCGAGGTTTATGACTTTGTGGCTGTGGTAACTAGTTACGTCCCAGGGTTTATAAACCGAGATGCTACATTGCGAGACTTCCGAGAATGCTTGCGAAACAGGCCCGCTGAACAGAGCAAACAGGCCGGGGTTTGGAATTTGAAGTCAATGAGAGAAGTGAAAAATGATTCCTTAGTTGTTAATTTTCTCAATCTAAAGGCACAACCTAGATTCTAGCCAATTTCTTGTAGTTTAACATTTTATTACTCCAACCTCGTTTAAGTAACAAACGGACACGTTTTCATTTTGGTCAAAAACAACTTCATATCGAAGGAGTGCCTTTACTGCTTGCACATGCGCAGTTCGGCGCGAGACGACCGTTGGACCCGATGACGTGTTTCTGCACATGAGCTTTTAAAGGCGTCCACATGCTTCCCAACCAAAACAGTTCGGAAGAGTTTGTCAGTGTAAAGTACTTAAGTAAAAATACAAGTAGTTTTTTTGGGGTATCTGTAATTTACTTTACTATTTATATTTTGGACTACTTTTACTTCACTACATTCCTAATGAAAATAATGTACTTTTTACTCCATACATTTTCCCCGACACTCAAAAGTACTCATTACATTTTGAATGCTTAGCAGGACATTAAAATGGTTCAATTCACACACTTATCAAGAGAACATCCCTGGTCATCTCTACTGCCTCTAATCTGGCAGACTCATTAAACACAAATGCTTCGTTTGTAAATTATGTCAGTGTTGGATTGTGCCCCTGGTTATCAGTAAATTAAAAAAACTAGAAAATGGTGCTATATGGTTTGCTTAATATCAGGAATTTGAAATAATTTATACTTTTGATACTTAAGTATATTTTAAACCAAATACTTTTAGACTTTCACTCAAGTAGTATTTTAGTGGGTGAGTCACTTTTACTTGAGTCATTTTCTATTAAGGTATCTTTACTTTTACTCAAGTATGATGGTTACGTACTTTTTCCCAACACTGGAGTTTGTGCATATATTATAATGACATTTTGTGACGTTTTTATTAGTTTTGGACTTCGGTAATGATTTTTTCAGTTGTTGGGCACAGGAAATATTTTCTTGAGGCAAACTGGAGTCTACACCCCTTCGTCGTCATGGCGGCTAGGCGAACCGAAGGCGCTTAAAAGAGCTTTGCTTGAAAAATGAGAGCGGCAATAGTACTGTTTGACAATTTTGAGCCGCTGTAGCCAGCATATACTTCCTCAAAATAGTCAGAATTAATTGAGATAACTCTATTAATCTGGCATTAATTTTGACGTTTTGCAGAGGAGATCTTAGTCGTACAATTTTACAAATAACTAAGATGTTTGGTGCAGTATTTCACAAGAAGTCCAAAACGAACAAAAATGTAATAATATATGCACAAACTGTTTCGGCTGGGAAGGATGCGGACACCTTTAACTAGCCAACTTCACCATGACTTCGCCTACAAGTGTGATCAGGGATTTCTATTGGAGAAGCAGTTTCTGCCCATCTCCATACTCTACTGTCTTCGTTTTATCCCTTTGAGAGGGTCATGGCTAGAAGGAATCCAGCTTTTGGCAAATGAATAGCAAAAGTTGAACTTTTTGCTAACCCTTTCCCTAACCTAATTATCCTAACCTGTTGCGTATCTTCTCTTAACCTGCTACGAAAAATCTGATGTTTATTTGACAGAAGCTGGACTCTTTTTAGCTATGACCCTTTGAGCTGGAGAAAAGATTGAGCCAGTAGGCCTACTCAAGAGTCTGTGCTATCCGGGATCCTTGGGAAGTCCCTATCCCATTGAAGTTGACATTTTAAAATGTTTAGGGAGGGATGTCCCAAGGATCCCAGATAGCACTGACTGTACTCAGGTGTGCTTGTTCAACAAAACATTCCTTCAGAGTGCCCAATAATGCATTAAAGCAACTATAGAGTAGGCCTACTGGCTCAATAAATTAAAAAAAAGTCAATTGTCCCGTGTAGCTTAGTTGGTAGAGCATGGCGTTTGCAACGCCGGGGTTGTGGGTTTGTTTCCCACCAGGGGAACATATATATGTATGCACTCACTAACTGTAATTCGCTCTGGATAAGAGCATCTGCTAAATGACTAAAATGTAAATATTGCCTATTCATCCTCTCTGATAATAGACTGCTGCTGCTAACAGTAACTGCGCCTCATATAGGATTATCTCAAATGCTAACAGGTCTGGTTGACACTGAATGAATGAAGGAAATGTCCATTAAACTCAACACAGCATATGACACTTTATGTCCTCTTTTTATGCTACTGTATTTTCACACATTTTATTTTACTGTTTGTAGAATAATCGCTTTAGGAAAGCGCACACTGGCTACTCTGCAGGCCCCGGCCTAGAGTGTTATGTGAAAGGTTTCAACTTCACTGGTGAACCGCCTTGGCTGCTCTGCACCTGATTAAACTACTTTGCTGAATTCCATCTCTTTCTTGTCCAAGTAAGTGTTGCTTTCCAATCCAACGTCATTTCCAACATGCATGTCACAATATTCTAGAATGGGTGTTAACAGCACATGCCTATGAGATACTGGGGTTGGTTGTAATTGGTGCACTGTAGCTCTGGGAGTAATTATGCTGGTAATTTAGGCACATTCCTGTTCCAGATAATAATGAGCAGTATTGTACAAGCATTTGAATGCTACTTTCAGGGAATTGAGCCAACATTGATAAGGCTATTCCTTGAACAACTAGCCCACTGATAAACTGGCTAATGTAGGGAGCTGTGCTACCATTTTAACACAGATCTCCTTTTTCCACAGTTTTCTTTTGTGACCAATCTAAACGTTTTTCTGCGACCATGAACACGTTCGCTCCTGACAATTTTGCCTTCCTGGAGGAGGGCTTCTGTGCCCGTGACATTGTTGAGCAGAAGATCAACGAGACGTCCATGTCGGTAAGAACAACTTCCTGCTGTCCCTGATTCTGCTTCATTTGGTGTGAGGAGTGTGATTTGTTGACAAGGCATTTGTCTTGTAAGATGTATTTCTTATTCCCTTGCATGCATGTCTTTGCCCCTCCAGGATGATAAGGATGCCTTCTACGTGTGCGACTTGGGTGACGTGCTGAAGAAGCACATGCGATGGGCATGTACCATGCCTCGCGTAACGCCCTTCTATGCTGTCAAATGCAACGACAGCCGGGCTGTTGTCACGACCCTGGCCTCCTTGGGCGCCGGCTTTGACTGTGCAAGCAAGGTTAGCCTCTTTCTAAACACCTCCTAATTTTGAAATGGCCTTGACCCCAACCCCCCCCCCCAACCCTGCTGCCCTGTGAAGGCGTTTCCTGTTCTGACCCACTCTTTCTTTGTCCCATCAGACTGAGATCCAGATCGTTCAGTCTCTGGGTGTGGACGCTAGCAGGATCATCTACGCCAACCCTTGCAAGCAGGTGTCCCAGATCAAGTATGCCTCTGCCCACGGAGTGCAGATGATGACCTTCGACAGTGACGTGGAGCTCATGAAGGTGGCTCGGTGCCACGACAATGCCAAGTAAGAAACATCTCCACCCCCATTCTTTAGCCACACTGAAAACACCTGGTTTTATAAGTAACTTATACGGCTACTCTAGAAAAGTGCACCTCCAACTTTTCTCTCTCCTTGTCCAGACTGGTCCTGCGCATTGCCACAGATGATTCCAAGGCTGTGTGCCGGCTCAGTGTGAAGTTTGGTGCCACCCTGAAGGCATGCCGGGGTCTCCTGGAGAGGGCTAAGGAGCTGGGCCTGGACGTTATTGGGGTCAGCTTCCACGTGGGCAGCGGCTGCACCGACCCAGACACCTACAGCCAGGCCATCTCTGACGCCCACTGTGTCTTTGACATTGGAGTGAGTGTCTTTCTGTCTTTCTCTGCTTGAACTTATCACCTCAATTTATAAATGGACCCTTAACCTGCAGTTGGCCCCCAAGTTGTAGGTCTAACTCCTCTTTGTTGGTTCTATTTTCTGCAGGCCGAGGTGGGTTTCAACATGACCCTCCTGGACATTGGTGGCGGTTTCCCTGGGTCTGAGGATACCAAGCTCAAGTTTGAGGAGATCACAGCAGTTATCAACCCAGCACTGGACAAGTATTTCCCTGCAGACTCTGGGATCCGGATCATTGCTGAGCCAGGTCGCTACTACGTGGCCTCTGCCTACACCCTAGCTGTTAACATCATCGCCAAAAAGGTCATCATGAACGAGCAGTCTGCCTCTGACGGTATGAGCAAATTGACTCAATCCGCAAACTTGTGGCGAGTGCCTGACGTGCCAAATAAAATTGCATCACTCAACCCAAAGTAATAGCGAGCCAAGTTTCATTATAATTTACACAACTCTGCCCCTACAGAGGATGACGATTGGACCAGTGACCGGACTCTGATGTACTATGTGAACGATGGCGTCTATGGCTCCTTCAACTGTATTCTATATGACCATGCTCACCCCTTGCCTACCCTGCACAAGGTAAGTTGATTAACACACTTCATTTCAATCAACCAAACTAACTCACACAAAAAGCAAGTTTATAAAACCAATAAAATAAGTCTGACGATTTTGTTAATCCCTGCTCTCTTCATCCTTCTACAGAAGCCAAAGCCAGATGAGCGTATGTACCCCTGCAGCATCTGGGGACCAACCTGTGATGGCCTGGATCGCATTGCTGAGGTGTGCAGTCTGCCGGACATGCAAGTGGGAGAGTGGCTGCTGTTTGAGAATATGGGGGCCTACACCGTGGCTGCCTCCTCTACCTTCAACGGCTTCCAGAAGCCAGACATCTACTACATCATGTCCCGCACAGCTTGGTAAATTGTTGGAAATGTAGTAGAATTGTATGTAGAGACAAATAGAATGTGATTGTGGTAGCATGTCTCCATACAGTGATGTATCATCAATCCTCAACCTTCCTTCTGATTCTAAATCTGTCTCGGTTTTCTCTTGTCCTGTGTAGGCAGTGCATGCAGCAGATCTGTGCCCAGGGGATACCCACTCCTGTTGAGGAGGCATCCTGTGTGACATCCAGCTGTGGCCATGAAAGCAGCCTGGAGCTGCCTGCCAAGCCTAGCCAGACCTGTGTGCTCTAAACATAACACCAACATAATCTCATACATACCCACCCCCACACTGCCACTCTACCGGCCAGTAGCCTATGTTTTTATTCATTTCCTATTCAATGTTGCTTTAAAAAAAAAAAACTTGTACCGTTGAAAGGCCAGTTACTTGACGGGAGAATGAGAGGGGCATGTTGGCGCACATTTCTCACTTGTCTGTATGAAAGACTGAGATTTAATCCTGAGCTGAGGTTGAATCTCTCTTAACATCACTAAAGGTACATCTCGGAGGGTTGTAGTCATATTGTTACAGGGGTCTGATTGGCTAATGCTTACAACAAAGGTTGTATGTTCAATTCCAGGAGGGGCCACAAAATACCTTAATTTGCATTGACCATAAGTCGCTCTAGATGGGAGCATTTGCTAAATGACAATGTAAATGTTATATGGCAGTGTCGTGGGGATTTTCTCTTGTAAACTCCAACTCCCAGAAGGCTCCCTGTTTCAGTTGAATCCACTACCCATTCTCATGACTCTAAAGGAGCTGTTTTGAGGGCGGATTACTTCTCCAGGAAATGGCTGCTACAGATATTTAATTTTCCCCGATCTCCTCTTTCATACAGAACCCTTTATTCAATGTAGGGACTCAACATGCAGACTGTCCCTCTCCTCTTCTCCTTTTCTGTATTATTTTTTAAATATTGTCTTTTGTTGCAAGGTAGTATGTCAGTTAATGATACGAAAATTTATAATTATCGCTATTGACGATGCATTTTAAAAAGGATACGAAGGAGATTGGATTGCACATTTGTATCACTTTCCTATGGAAACTTTTTTAATTTTGTATTTTTTTAAATAAATAAAACATGTAGGTGCAGAGCTGAATATTGTGTGGTCCTTTCTGGGGAAAAGGCAGTGAGTGTCCTTTTGGTAGAGATGGGTGGACACTGGATAACACACACCGTGAGGATATTACCACAGTAGTTAAGTGATTCACTCTTATTAATTATATAAGTACCAGTCAAATGTTTGGACACACCTACTAATTTCTTTATTTTCTACATTGTAGAATAATAGTGAAGACATCAACTATGAAATAACACATGGAATCATGTAGTAGCCAAAAAAAGTGTTAAACAAATCAAAATATTTGAGATTCTTCAAATATCCACCCTTTGCCTTGATGACAGCTTTGCACACACTTGGCATTCTCAACCAGCTTCCCTGGAATGCTTTTCCAACAGTCTTGAAGGAGTTCACACAAATGCTGAGCACTTGTTGGCTGCTTTTCCTTCACTCTGCTGTCCGACTCATCCCAAACCATCTCAATTGGGTTGAGGTCGGGGGATTGTGGAGGCTGGTCATCTGATGCAGCACTCCATCACTCTCCTTCTTGGTAAAATAGCCCTTACACAGCCTGGAGGTGTGTTGGGTCATTGTCCTGTTGAAAAACAAATGATAGTTCCCACTAAGGCCAAATCAGATGGGATGGTGCATCGCTGTGGAAGCCATGCTGGTTAAGTGTGCCATGAATTCTAAATAAATCACAGACAGCGTCACCAGCAAAGCACCCCCACACCGTAACACCACCTCCTCCATGCTTTATGATGGGTACTACACGTGGAGATCATCCGTTCACCCACACTGCGTCTCACAAAGACACGGCGGTTGGAACCAAAAATCTCCAATTTGGCTCCAGACCAAAGGACACATTTCCACCGGTCTAATGTCCATTGCTCGTGTTCTTGGCCCAAGCAGGTCTCTTCTTATTGGTGTCCTTTAGTAGTGGTTTCTTTGCAGCAATTCGACCATGAAGGCCTGATTCACACAGTCCCCTCTGAACAGTTGATGTTGAGATGTGTCTGTGAAGCATTTAATTGGGCTGCAATTTCTGAGGCTTGTAACTCTAATGAACTTATCCTCTGCAACAGAGGTATCTCTGGGCGGTCCTCATGAGAGCCAGTTTCATCATAGCGCTTGATGGGTATTGCGACAGCACTTCAATGTTCCGTATTGACTGACCTTCATGTCTTAAAGTAATGATGGACTGTCATTTCTCTTTGCTTATTTGAGCTGTTCTTGCCATAATATGGACTTGGTATTTTACCAAATAGGGCTATCTTCTGTATACCTCCCCCTACCTTGTCACAACACAACTGATTGGCTCAAACACATTAAGAAGGAAAGAAATTCCACAAATTAACTTTTAACAAGGCCCACCTGTTAATTGAAATGCATTCCAGGTGCATACCTCATGAAGCTGGTTGAGAGAATACCATGAGTGTGCAAAGCTGTCATCAAGGCAAAGGGTGGCTATTTGATTTGTTTAACACTTTTTTGGTTACTACATGATTCCATGTGTTATTTCATAGTTTTGATGTCTTTACTGTTATTCTACAATGTAAAAAATAGTACAAATAAAGAAAAACCCTTGAATGAGTAGGTGTGTCCAAACTTTTGACTGGTACTGTATATCTTAATACAGTAGCTCCATGTGTAACAAAAGGATATAAAGCCAGGGTGCACATATCCATATGGCTTGAGGTAATTAAAAGCAATACGCTAACATGACACTACAACACACAAAAAATGTGAATGCTGGTAATAGACTCATTGTTTCATATACTTGTTTTTTTAGTTAATGTTAAAGACACTTAACATCTCAGGTAACATCTATTTAATACCAGTAACACTGACAAATTGGGTGTATTTGTAACAGTCTTGCTTCCGTCCCGCTCCATCCTGGACTTGAACCAGGGACCCTCTGAACACAACTGCTTCCCATCAAAGCATCGCTCCACAAGATCTGCGGCCCTTGCAGAGCAAGGGAAACAACTACTTCAAGGTCTCGGAGCAAGTGACATAACCGATTGAAACGCTACTAGCACGCACCGTTAACTAGCTAGCCATTTCACACCGGTTACATATTGATATAAAAATCACAGTTTGACATTAAAAGAGACAAAGTTGGCATCATTAGAAAGCAGAGATCCTATTTTCAACAGTAGCCTATGTAAAATGTCAATATGTCCGACTATAGTCAATCCATTTTCATGATTGTCGTAATTGATGACCTGTGTAGTAAAAACACTGGCTCTTGAAAGAGATGTTCCCTCTTTGTACCTACAGATATCAATCACTTTCCATCCGTCAGTTAGGGTCATGAGCCCTTACATTTACGTCATTTAGCAGACGCTCTTATCCAGAGCGACTTACAGTTAGTGAGTGCATACATTATTATTATTTTTTCATACTGGCCCCCCGTGGGAATCGAACCCACAACCCTGGCGTTGCAAACGCCATGCTCTACCAACTGAGCTACATCCCTGCCGGCCATTCCCTCCCCTACCCTGGACCAATTGTGCGCCGCCCCATGGGTCTCCCAGTCGCAGCCAGCTACAACAGAGCCTGGATTCGAACCAGGATCTCTAGTGGCACAGCTAGCACTGCGATGCAGTGCCTTAGACCACTGCGCCACTCGGGAGGCGCAGTGGTCACCCTTCTCTCCCGTGATGATCAGGTGTGTACAGGCTTCTGGGACTGCAGGATCTAGGCGGCCCTCTGGGCCCCGGTGATGGCAGTGAGGGCTGTGCTGGCCTCCTTGGACCCCTGCCTGCAGCATGTTGCACAACTCACTGTAGAAGTGAGGGTAGGAAGGCAGCCCGTAGAAGGTCAGGTTCTGGATGCCCTTGATGGTGTATCTGATAGGGGGCTGACAACATAACTATTTAATGGGGAAGTTCACTGTGACATTATTATACACAGCTGGGCAACTTCCTGTTTACAGACCCAAAAAATTAGCCAGACATCTTTCAAACGAAGAGTAAACTTTTTTGTCTCCCTTCTGGAAAAAGTTATTTATTTGCTGTCTAAATTATATACTATAGTAGGATACTGCTGAAGAATATACAGTGAGGGAAAAAAGTTTTTGATCCCCTGCTGATTTTGTACGTTTGCCCACTGAATAATCAGTCTATTATTTTAATGGTAGGTTTATTTGAACAGTGAGAGACATAATAACAACAACAAAATCCAGAAAAACGCATGTCAAAAATGTTATAAATTGATTTGCATTTTAATGAGGGAAATAAGTATTTGACACCCACTCAATCAGAAAGATTTCTGGCTCCCAGGTGTCTTTTATACAGGTAACGAGCTGAGATTAGGAGCACACTCTTAAAGGGAGTGCTCCTAATCTCAATTTGTTACCTGTATAAAAGACACCTGTCCACAGAAGCAATCAATCAATCAGATTCCAAACTCTCCACCATGGCCAAGACCAAATAGCTCTCCAAGGATGTCAGGGACAAGATTGTAGACCTACACAAGGCTGGAATGGGCTACAAGACCATCGCCAAGCAGCTTGGTGGGAAGTTGACAACAGTTTGTGCGATTATTCGCAAATGGAAGAAACACAAAAGAACTGACAATCTCCCTCGGCCTGGGGCTCCATGCAAGATCTCACCTTGTGGAGTTGCAATGATCATGAGAACGGTGAGGAATCAGACCAGAACTACACGGGAGGATCTTGTCAATGATCTCAAGGCAGCTGGGACCATAGTCACCAAGAAAACAATTGGTAACACACTACGCCGTGAAGGACTGAAATCCTGCAGCGCCCGCAAGGTCCCCCTGCTCAAGAAAGCACATATGCAGGGCCATCTGAAGTTTGCCAATGAACATCTGAATGATTCAGAGGAGAACTGGGTGAAAGTGTTGTGGTCAGATGAGACCAAAATCGAGCTCTTTGGCATCAACTCAACTCGCCGTGTTTGGAGGAGGAATGCTGCCTATGACCCCAAGAACACCATCCCCACAGTCAAACATGGAGATGGAAACATTATGCTTTGGGGGTGTTTTTCTGCTAAGGGGACAGGACAACTTCACTGCATCAAAGGGACGACGGACGGGGCCATGTACCGTCAAATCTTGGGTGAGAACCTCCTTCCCTCAGCCAGGGCATTGAAAATAGGTCGTGGATGGGTATTCCAGCATGACAATGACCCAAAACACACGGCCAAGGCAACAAAGGAGTGGCTCAAGAAGAAGCACATTAAGGTCCTGGAGTGGCCTAGCCAGTCTCCAGACCTTAATCCCATAGAAAATCTGTGGAGGGAGCTAAAGGTTCGAGTTGCCAAACGTCAGCCTCAAAGCCTTAATGACTTGGAGAAGATCTGCAAAGAGGAGTGGGACAAAATCCCTCCTGAGATGTGTGCATCCCTGGTGGTCAACTACAAGAAACGTCTGACCTCTGATTGCTAACCAGGGTTTTGCCACCAAGTACTAAGTCATGTTTTGCAGAGGGGTCAAATATTTATTTCCCTCATTAAAATATAAAACAATTTATAACATTTTTGACATGCGTTTTTCTGGATTTTTTTGTTGTTATTCTGTCTCTCACTGTTCAAATAAACCTACCATTAAAATTATAGACTGATCATGTCTTTGTCAGTGGGCAAACGTACAAAATCAGCAGGGGATCAAATACTTTTTTCCCTCACTGTAGTACATAGTGTGTCTTTACCTTGCATCCTGGTCCATGAAGCTGTTAGAGTTGATGAGGGAGCTGCACCAGAACCTGGCAGATGGAGCCTGTTATAAGCATATTCTTTGTGGCAACCTGGAATAAGAATGTGAAAAACATGTTTTTCATAATACTAAATGAACAATGCTTCTAATGTAATGGGGTATAACTCATTTGTTGAAATCGTACAGACGGTGGATTGAAGAGCCCACAGGCCTAAGTGCACACTGACCTGGCCACGGTAGTTGAAGAAGTGCTTGGATATGATGTTGTTGATCTGTGGGTCCTGGACGGGTCAAAAGGTTAATAATGGTCAGAGCTGGGCGATATGGACAAAACTCCATACTGCAATAAATT